GCCATATAGGGAGATAATTTTAAGTGAGAAATTAGTCTAATATTCTCTATCCACATTTTTTCCAAGACTATGTGAAGAAATCATATTCATGAATTCATTCCATAAACACTTTTTGAATTGGATACCACATTAAGTGGGTAAAAAAAAAAATGAAAAGGAAATAGTCCTTTGTTGAAAAAGTACCAACATGCATAGGAATGATAAACATCAGATTCAGGTTAGTGGTTACCTGTGAGAGAAATGAAAGGGAGTGGGATTTGGAAGGCGTAAACTATATAATTATATTTTTTATATATCTTTTTTGTAATAATAATCCAAATAAGTAAATAAAAATAAACAGAAACTTTAGTATTTCCTTGCTGTAATTTAAATTCCAATAAATGTCAACTGAAGTAAGCAGGCAAAGAGAGGTAACAAAGGGCCTGGTAGTTTATTTGAATGCCACCCTGGGTGATGTTCCGTGGTCTGAAACACAGGCCTGGGAAGTCACCCCCAGCAGGGCAGGCAGCAAGTTTTTAAAGAAGGCAGGGGGAGGGAGAGCAAAGATGTACAGTGGCATGAGGATTGGCTCGTCTAGGGTATGTGGGGGTCTCTCGTTGGCCTTTAGCCAGGCACTGGAAAGTTACCACTAATCCTTTAGCTTGGGGAAAGGGCTCTAGTTGGGAGGGTTATCCCATCAGGCTCTGGAATGTCGTCAGACCAGAACCTGTTGGTTTCTTCACCTCGTTTGCTGAGGCCTGAGCTTGTCCATCAGGCTCACCCCTTCAGCTCATGCCTGCAGCCTAACACTTTCGTCACCCTAAAGAATCACCTCGGACACTCCCCATGTCCTGTACTTCATTTGGGACATTGTGTGAAGATGCTAAAGGCTTCAACTTACTGTGACAGACAAATTCAAAGCAGGAATCAACTCAGTATTAAGTGATGACTGAATATGGTGCAGTAAAGGATAGGAGTATTTGTATGCTCTGGGAGTTTTGGGGGAACATGCTCTCCTGTTCTGGAGTTCCAGAGCCACACTTTAGGGGATGCTATCAATCACACACATATGGGGGTGTAGCCCGATTTTTCAGCTCCCATTTATGGGCATGACATGAAAGAGACATTCAGTTAATATATACTCCAACAAAGATTTTTAAACACCCATGTATGAAACTCTATTTATCAGACAACTCAGTAAAACATAGGCTATGTCCTTAGTTTTTAATATTCAGGGACCACTTAACAAGTCCACACCCCTAAGTTTCTTCATGTTCTCGATAAATCCTCAACTGCCTATAAAACCCCCTAGACAACGCACCACTACAGACTCTCTTGTCCATTCCTGCTGTGAGCTGGGAGCTCTGTCCTTTCTCTTTATCTCTAAATAAAAGCCTGCACCTTGCTCTCCTATCTTGGCTATTTGTGAAGCTCATTCTTCCACTCCGCAAACAAGAACCTGGCATCACAATGAGGGAGGTATCATTACTAACCTCAAAGTATAGGTGAAGAAACCAAAGCCTCCAGACTAAGTGGCCCAGTTAACTAAGATCAGAACCCAAGATTTGCTGATCATAAAATCTATACCTTACCATTAAAGTACATGGCAAAAATAAATGGAGAACTTTCTATGGGAATCTAGAATAAGAAATTACTAGCTTTAGCTACAGAATTCAACGTGGACTTCATGGAAAAAAAGGGAAAATTGTACAAAATTTTAAAAGAAAGGTAGCAAAGAAATTCCAGAAAGGGCTTCAACAGAGGCATGAGAGAGCATGATGTGTAAGTAAATAGCTTTGTGTGTTTCAGTGACCTGTGCATTTAGGGCAACGGCAGAGGTGGGTTTGGTGAGGTGTGTATGAGCCAAATTATGAAAGACAGCACATTCAGGAGGGAGGAGGAATTAACAAATGAGTTTCTTTGAGAATTCCTTGGCACCTCTTTGAATGTCAGGCTTCTACAAGGTGGTTACTTGTGTGGATCTTTACAAATACAGCTGAATTAATAGGACACACTCAACTACAAGGAGCCAAAAGTTAAGGCAAATAATTTGATTTAGAAAGACAATTACTTTTAAAACATACATGAAGCTTGACATTTTGCTGTAGCCTTAAAGGACATTTTTTAAAACCAGTTGTGTTCATTGATCATGGGAGAGGAACAACCAACCAAATATTAGTTGTCTAATACTGGTAGTTTTTCTTAGGAGTGAGGTAATCCATACTTTTAAACTATAGGTATGTGTTTTCCAGTGCAGAGATTAAATAATACAGTGTTATAGAAGTCTGTATTTGCTGTAACTACTTAGTGGTCAGTCATTAATATTTAATGAATATTTATAATTTTATTATACATATATCACAATCAATATATATGATTGAGATATATATTACATATCTTACATATGAGTATCTGTGGATGTATATATATGCATGCATATGTGTATATGCATATATACATACATATAATCATATAAAGAAAGAACATGAGTATGATCAGGACCCTTAATGTGTAATATCAACTAGATGTGTGATTTTTGTCAAGTCATTTAATTTATCTAAGGTTCTACTTACCTTGAAATGAGAGGCTTACACTAGATGGATTCTAAGATTTTGATTATGAAATGAGGAAACCTCTGGCTTTGACAAGCTTAAAATTAGTTGAGGACATAAAGCACATCCACAGGAAAACAGACTAAGCCCACAAGTAATTTAAAAACAAATCCTACAGAAGGAAGATTTTTAAAAAAAATCAGACTTTGGGTAGTTAATTGGGAAGGTCAATATTATACCACTAAGAAGTAGAGGAAAGGTGAGTTTAGAAGTTAAATGAGAAAAGGGTAGAAATTCTAACTTAGTAGTTAGAATTGTTTTGGGGGAGGAATATTTTATTTATTTTCTCTACATCATAAAATAACTTATTATCAAGAATACCAGTACATTTCTACTTGAAGTCATATAATGGTCATTCAATTTTTACACCTATTTTGTGTACTGGCTTGAAATCTTTCCAATGTTCCTAAGTTTCATTAACTCTCTAACTCCTTTTAGCTGTATCTAGAAGGTGGTATTGGGAAGTTTTTGAAAGGATTATCAGGAATTATGCATAATTGCTGGCTGTGTCACTATGGGGGAGCCACATGTAAATATCACCAAGGTTACTGTTATAAACAGTCTCATTCAAATTATTGCAAAACATTACCAGATTTGGGTGAGGTTTCTAGAGGAAAAGAGCAGCCAATCAGTCAAGCCATAACATTTACTCAGTACCCAATGTGTATGAGTTATTGATATTAGGTTTTGCTAAGTAAACAGAAACTGAAAAGCAGAAGAAAAAAAATCCCGGAAATAATGCTGATGCACAGCAGATGGTGGTGAATAAAACTGATGGGATGAGAAAGTACTGGTTTTATTTGAGGGAGAGTGGCTTTAGAGAGAGACAAAGAGAATTTTTGAAGAGTAAAGAATATGGAACACAGAATAAGATGGCCTGAGGTCTGAACCCAACTTAGTCACTTAAGTGCCGTCTAGGACAAATATTTAGCCTCAGTTTTCCTCTGTAAAATGTGTATAAGTTTTATTAATACCTTATTTCTTGAAGTTGCAGTGAAGCAAGGACTTATAAACTGAAAAACAGTAAACATGTTGTTTATTGGCATCCAGTCAGGTCCTTGGCCAAACTGTGTGGTTTATTCTCTATTATGCCTTCTCTGCAGCATTTATCCTCAACAGACACCTACTTTTTCACCGCATGTGTCAGCAAGTTTTCCCTCCCTGGACTATGAGCTGTTCAATAGCACGGATTCTGTGTGCTTTTCATTCAGAAGAAACAATGATTCACACACTGTGAGCACCCAGTAAATTGGTTAGTAATAGTGTTTTGCATATGAATGGTTATTTGAACTTTTTAAGAGACTCTCACGTGACACATTCAGGTGTCAAATTCATTTCGCTATTTCTGATGTCATGTCACTATTTCAAAAGTTGTCAAGAGCTTCTCATCTTCTACTAAATAAAAACTTAAAAAACTTTTTTTAATTGAGCTATATAAAATTGATATATAACATTGTATTCGTAGTACTGGTGCCACCTAGGAGCTTTTTAGAAAAGCAGATTTTCCAACCCCATCCCAGACCTACTAAATGAGCTACTGCATCATAACAAGATTTCTAGCCAATTCATATACACAGCCTTGATTACATCTTTAGTTTCTAGCTAAACTTGAAGTTTTAAAAGTAAGATTCCAAGATTTTGCAAATAAAAGTAATGGATGTCCAATAAAACTTGAAAACAATGAATAATTTTTTAGTATATCGCAAATGCTTCAGGGGACATAAAATATATTTGTCTACCTGAAATTCAGATTTAACCGGACTCTGTGATTTAATCTGGCAATTCTCCGCAGAGTAAGATCTATGTCGCACACATATTTCAATTCCCCTGCAATAGTAGAGTGCCTTCCTCAACTGCTCAGCATTGTTTGTTTAAGGAATAGTCAATTGGCCTCTTGAGAACAGAGGTTTGTTTCTCTGGTTTTTGGTGAACATTGTACATCGTCAAAGACCAACAAAGTACCCTGCACACAATAAAGGACCAATTAACGTCTCTTTAATGAAAGAATGAATATGTCAAGAGCAATTTTCAGTTAAGGGACTTGGTTGTGTTACGTTTTAATGAAAGCCTGAATATTTTTCGAGTAATTAAAAAAAAGTTTAAAGAGCCTCTATTCGTACACTTTTTCACATTTTAGCTGGTAGTGTTCAGGGCTTGATGGGAACGTAATCGAGGGCTCAGGATGTACTCCGTCGCGGACCGAGTCAATACGGTCGTCTGAGAGCAGATTCCCGCACGCAGATTTCTGGCGTGTCGGCAGCAGACAGCAGGCGACGCCTCCCCCTTCCCGGGCCAATGAGGCGCCCGCGCTCGCGCACAGCCGCGCTCCGGCCCCCAGAGCCCGGCGGAGGGAGGCGGGGCTCCCGGGGCGCGTGCGCGGCGGCCTGGGCTGCGGGCCCCTCCCCCGGCGGGGTTGAGTGGCGCAGAGGACCGTCGGGAAAGGCGGAAGTCAGGAGGCCGCCGCCGCCGTTTGTCGCCAGGAGGAAAATGGCGGATGTGGAGGAGCGGTTGTCTGGTGAGGAGAAGGTAAGAGCCGCGGGGGCGGCGGAGCCCGTCAGTCCGGAGCCGGCCGAGCCCCGGCGCATCTGCCCGGAGTGGGGCCGGGGAAGGGCACTGGTCTGCGCGCTCAGCCGCCCTTCCTCCCTCTCTCTGCTGCGCCCTAGTGCCTGCCCCCCTGTCAGCCACCCGAGGCCCCGCGCAGGGGCAGCTCTGCCGGGCCTGCTCGCTCCGCTCCTTGTAGCGTGTGTGCTCCGAAAATAGGAAGTGGAAGCCGGGCGGCGGCGCCTGGCGCAGCGGGCGGGGCAGGGGGCGGCGAGGGCGGCGGCCGCCGGGGTCCCGGTCCCTCCGCCTGGCAGCGGGGCCCTGAGCCAAGTGTGGGGACTGCGAAGCGCTCTGGTCAGCCTGCGAGCGGCCCAGGGGCAGGACTCAGCCCCACGGCCTGGCTGGAGAGTGTAGCCGGGTGGGGGTTAAGGCCAAGGTCGCTTGGAAGGCAGGCCTTCACTTCTCCCAGAAGCCGAATGCGTCGTTTCCTGTTTGCGCTTTTTTCCTTGCCCGTGAAAGTCTCTCTTCTCTTTTTTTTTTTTGGCTTAAGCCGTACGCTTTGCATCTCCCGTGTTCCGTGGAGGTGGCAGAGTTGCTCACAGAAAGCTCCCCCCACCCCATAGTTGTTTCCGGCTCAGGTTGTCAACAGCCCCCCTGAGGGCCGATTTGGTGGCGCCCCGTCGTCCTGTTTCTGCCTGAGGAGGGAGATTGTGTGGCTGCTTTCACTGTCTCTTAGATGATGTGACAGACAGCATTGGAACCAAGTGAACGACTTAAATCCTCAGGCATTTAAAATAAGAAACCTGATCATTGAACTACTTCTCTCTTAATCGCAGTTTTCATTTGGGTGTGAGGCCCCGTTCCCCAATACAGGGGACGGGACCCTACTTATTTTGAGTATTTCCTGGAGTGAACCTTGACGTTTCTCAGACTCAGAAGTAACTGACCTACTCTGAGTAAGATAGTTACAGCTTTTGATGTGTTCACACTTAATTTAACAACGTTCATATTTTAAGAGTTCTAAAGCAGTACAGTGAAACACAACACATCGTGGTGTTTGAGAAATCCTAATGTAAGCCTGAGGATATTTGCAGTTGGAATTCTGCTCCAAGTGTCTTTATATTGTCTCTTCACCGAAATATTCTGTCACCTTCCTCATGTGAATGTGTGGGTCTCATCTTCAATTTTGGAAATCCTTTCCTCTGCTGTTGGGTGAAGGTGATAATCAAACGACACAATTGGGAGAGCAATAAGGTCGCTCCATGATCCCTAATTCGCGGACCTGATAGGCAGATCCCGTGTACACAAAAGTTGGTGTGCAGTATTCACACGTGTAATATTGGTAAATAACCATGAGTTAGTAACTGAAAATGTACACAGGCTCACATGCACATTCAAAATTAAGTAGTGCCAAAAAGTTTTTAAAAGAATGTTACGTTTTTATTTTACCGTTTTGAAGTGGTGGTTAAGAAGCTCAAGTGGCTAGAAATCAAGTTGAGCGAGTACTCAGTGTTTGCCTTAATATAGACCTGCAATGTCTTGTAAAGGCCGAAAGTAGCAAAGTTTTTTCAAAATGAGATGACAAGATTCCTTATTATCTGGCACTCTCAGGGTACTAAGTGGGGAGGAGAGTGCCTTACTCTCTACGCTTGCCCAACACATTTTAAGGGTAGATGAATGAAAATTCTACTCTGAAGGAATTTGATGTTTTTGTTTTTAATTCGAGTTTTTGTAAGACTTTTCTGTAGACATTTACCTAGAGATTTCATTGCTATGTCTAGTAATTTAAGAAAAATACTGACCAAACTTTTGGGATAAATTGTCATCTTAGTTATCAAAATGTTCTTCTCATCTTTTGGGAGGAGGACGTTACATAAGGGATTGGAAAGGACTTAAAGGTGACATTATTAATTTAGTATTTAAATCCTATTACTCTTTCTCCCACTTTGTAATTTTCAAAAATAAGCTTTTAATACTTACAAGATTTTGGAATTTTCATTATTGATTGCAGATCTAAGGAAGGGGAAGCTCTTGAGAATTATGTAGTACTATGTACTTCATCTATGCCTGGCTCAGTTAGACAATACATAAGTTAATTGGTCTTAAGTTGGGGTAGGTTTTATTACCATTTGACGGATAAGTAAAATAAGGTTTCAAAAGCTTTAATTCACCCAAAGACATATAAGTATAAAGTGACAAATGTGGTATTTAAACCCGAGTTTGACTCCTGTGTGATGCTCTTGTGACAATAAACTACCTTAACAGTTGAAGATAGGAACTCTCTGGGTTTATCTCCTTGTTTTTAAATTGTTGATAGCTTATTTTGAAAAAGAAACAATAGTTCTTTTGTTTTTAATAAAAATTTTAAATACCAAACATTAAATAGTGTTGGGTTCTAAATTTAGTTTGTGTTTTGTTTTAGACCAAAGTTTATTATTGTTTAACACATTTAAGTTGTTTTTTATTAAGGTATTATTTATATGCACTCTTATTAAGGTTTCACATGAAAAAAAAGGGGTTACTACATTTACCCATATTATTGAGTCCCCACCCATACCCCAATGCAGTCACTGCCCATCAGTGTAGTAAGATGCCACAGATTCACTATTTGCCTTCTCTGTTAACACATTTAAGTTTTATGCAACTAGTATAGTTTCATATATGCCCTAAGTAGAAAGCATTTTAGAAATTAATGTAGATATCTTTGCTTTTTAAAATCATGTATGTACAACTGCTTTTTGAGGATACCACTATGAAATTTAATAAGCTTTTCACCTTTGGCCACTGGGTTAATAGGAAACAGAATTATCTAAAGAAGAACAATGAAGTTCTTTAGAGTTACTCATTTCCTGTAGCGTACCCCATGGAGTATTTTACATAGTTACAGAAACTCTAGGCCAAACGGAGTTCAAGTTCTCTATTGCTGGGTCAGCTGCATTATACAGTAAAGCCTTTTTGTGAATTTGAAATTATATAAACTTGTGGTATAAGGCTCAAATGAGAAAAACCATTCCCAGACCCCTCTCTAGGTGAAAAATCCAAGAAATCACTCCACGCTCCAGGAAAAAGACTCTTTGTTATTGGTTGGAAAGGAGTGTATTTCCCGGTCACTCCTTCCAACTTCCCCTAACGATTAGAGTGATCACTCCTATAGCTTTAATTCTAGTATCTTTGTAGATACATGTCTCGAGTACATAGTTCAGCTCTAACTTTATCTTTCTTGAGCACTGGTCATACATTTTTGTGTGATGGTCCTTTTCCCAGGAGACAAAGAGATGTGTTCAAATGGAACCTGCTGAAAGTCAGTTCATAAACCCCCTCCCCTTACACCTACACAAAAATGGGAAGAAATCTGTCTCATCCTGCACATTTTTCTCTTTATTTCTCTATTCCCATTATTCCAGTCATCCACTATGAGGTTTTAAACCTCAGCTTTATTTTTTTTCTCCTTGTGGTCTGTACCTTAAAATCAGTTTCTAAGTCTTTGTCACTTCTGTCATCGAAATGTGTCATACACAAGTAATTTATTTGAGAAGTTAATTCATTTATATTATTTGGTTTATAACCTCTTAGTTGTCCAGACTGTTGTTATTTGTGTTACTAAGTACTGTCGTTTAGTAACAAAATTTTCCTATGAATACAGAATACAAATTGTACTGTTCTGTGACTACACAGATAAGGAAGAAATAAAGCCAAAGGAGGAAAAGTAGGGTTAGAAGAATGTATCATACCGGGTCCTTCCCTTCTGTTGTATTTGCCACTGCCAAGCTTTTATTACAAAATTCCTAGACTAATACCTCCAACTTCCTGTATCTAAGCCATGTTTTAATATGTCATTTTTCTATTCCCAAACTTACAGTTGCTTGCTCCTCCATCAGTGCCAGCTCTTGAAAATGGTATTCCATTCTAACCTAAATAGTTCTGACTTCCCCTATATATACTGTTGTCTAAGATGCTCTGAATTCAAAGAGACCTGCATGCTAGTCCAAATCTAGTACCTCAGGTGAATTATTTAATCTCTCAGCTTTAGTATCGTTTGAAATGTGGGGATATAAAGGAAGTTCCTCTACTTAAATTTCTGTGAGCATAGATGTTGCCTGACATGTAGTAGACACATTATAAAGCATAGCTGTGTTAACTCTGCTCATGTTTTATCCACTTCGAGTGTTGGTACTGCTCCCTGGTATGTCCCAATTTTTAAAAGGGAAAATCGTAGCTCATCCCTCAAGATTTAGCTCAGAAGCTAGTTTAATCTCTCTTCTGAGCATTGCAACACATCATTAGTATTCAGCACAGTTTGGCATAATAGTTACTTGCTTACTTGTCCTTTATTCCCTATATTATTGAAATTCCTAAGTGCAGAAGTAATGTCATCTTTAGCATCTGTCCTGGACTGCATGTGATGAGTACATTGGTTCAGTGAGTAAATGAATAAGGGAATCATAAATTCACAAAATTAAGAGAAAATGTAACAGTTTTATGAAAAGTAGAAGTAGCATATAAAGGCAAATTTTGATGGCAAATCTAGTATGCCTAAACTTTTCATTTCTAAATAGTGCTGTAGATTTTAAAGGTACAGTCAGATGAAACCCCTGGTATTCTTTGAGGTACAGGTGGTAAAATTAGCTGTGGTTCAAATGACCTACACATGCTAAATATTCTTTATAAGTAGTTTATGTATTTATCCATTACTACACAGTCACAATTTGGCTTCAGAAATTTTGTTTGCAAGTAAAAACAAGGTAAGCTGCCATGTGTAAAACCCGTGTTATTCTTATTAACCATAAAGTAAATTCAACCAGTAAGCTATTAATGTAGAAAATAGTCATTTCTGAAAGGAAAGGAGCGACACATAGCAGCAATTCACTGGAGAGTTCCGCTTTATTAGGGAAAGGTGCTGGGTTATATAGGAAGGAGCATGAATTGATTGAGGTGTCACTTCTACGGGGCTGGTGGCTGTTGGCTAGGTGCTGGGATTGGGAGGG